ACGTCAATATATTTGGCCTATGGCTGAGTTTCTATGACCCAAATAGAAGTTACGCTGCAGGTGTTGAATACCCTGAAGCCTAGACCCAGGGGCTTATAGTGTGGAATATCGCATTTAAAGTCATTATCAGCGGGCAAGAAAAATATGAATGAAAATCAACTGGAATCTAGTTAAGCTAGGATGCAAGCACATAAAGAAGGAGTAATCAACCATGAAATTTGGCCAAAACCCCAAGCATGGTTTTACTTAGACCGATTAAACGAGTGGTACGCAAAAAGTTGGCTCACTTTTAGCATGTACCTTTCCTAGTTGTGGACATGGTTGGAGATCACGCTGCGCGCTTGAAAACACGAGGTACATGTTGCATTGTAGATCGGAGCGAGGAAAGCGGAGCGAACGGAGCGGAGAGACCGAAGAGAGTAGAGCAGAAAACACTTGCCCAATAGTTGGAAGATTCGAAAGTGATTGATTATCGGGGCTTACTACTTACTACATGATTTATATGTGGTGTACATATAAATCATGTGAAGCGTCTCATCATCCTACGCGTCTAATCAACTATGGTAATTACCGTAAGAACTACGTCGTAAATACTAAGCTGAACAGGCGGTTCGGATTGGATCGGTCACGGTTACCAATACTGGTAGAAAACCGATGACCGTCAACACGCCCCCTCAATCCGAATGCTCACGAATCCCGAGAGCCGTCGTCATCTCCTTGTGGCGTGGTCCATGAAGTCCCTTCGTCACGATGTCCGCTAACATCACCGCAGTTTCACAGTACTTGAGCTTCACTTCACCGCGCTTGACCTCATCACGGATGTGATGGTACTTTATGTCAATGTGCTTGGCACGGCCGTGGTTGACTGGGTTCTTCGTCATCTTGATACATGACTGATTGTCTTCATGAATCATGAGTTCCGGTCCTTCTTCATTGGCAGCCATCACGATCTCACAAAGCAGACGATGAATCCACTTGCCCTCTTGAATCGCCAAGCTGAGTGCGATGTATTCAGCTTCAGTCGTGGACAACGAAACACTTGGCTGCTTCTTGCTGCCCCAACTGACTGGCGCACCGAGTAGCATGAACGTGTACCCCGATGTTGACTTGCGGTCGGTAAGATCACCAGCCCAATCCGCATCCGAATATCCACGGAAGTCGATCCTTGCACTTGGCTTGTAGCAAATTCCATGCGTCTTGGTGCCTTGTAGGTAGCGAAAGATACGCTTAACTGCAACCCAGTGTTCTTCTTGGGGATTTTCCATGAACCGCGACACATAGCCCACAGCAAACGCAATGTCCGGACGCGTTGCAGTGGTCAGGTGCATCAACGCACCAACAGCTTCGCGAAAAGGAGCATCGACCTTGGTAGCTGCATTGCTTGAAATAAGTCGAGAGCTCATGTCCACTGGACTTGACACAGCCTTGCAATCATCCATGCCAAAGCGCTTGAGGATATCATCGACATACCGACGCTGACATAGTGTCACACTGCCTTCTTCACCGTCCAAAAGCTCAATTCCAAGAACAAATGCACACTTGCCGCTATCAGTCATCTCGAAGCGTGTCTTCAGGTCTTCCTTGGTGTGTGCAATCAACTTGGGTGAGCTTCCTGTCACCAACACGTCATCCACATAGACCAAAATTAATACGCATTGGTCTTCCATAATCTTGATGTAGAGACATGGGTCGAAGCCTGACACTTGAAATCCAATGGAACACACATACTCGTCGAACGTCTCGTTCCACACTCGCGACGCTTGCTTGAGGCCGTAAATTGACTTCACCAATTCCAGGCAGTCGAACGTACTGTCAAGTTCGACGCCTTCAGGAATCTCGCAGAACACTTGTTCCTTCATGACGTCATACAGGAAAGCTGTCACCACATCAAGCTGGTCGATGGGCCATCCAAAATGCATGGAAATTGCGATCACCATTCGCAGCGTCACATACTTGACCACAGGCGAAAACGTCTCCGTGTAGTCGATGCCATACTTTTGGCGGAAACCCTTGTCCACAAGTCGTGCCTTGTACTTCTCGATTGACCCATCCGCCTTGCGCTTGATCTTGAACACCCATTTTGTGCCAATGGCGCGTTGTCCGTTGGGCAGCTTGGCTGCACGAAACACTCCACGAAGTTGCATTGACTCGAGCTCCGCATGAGTTGCCTTACGCCAGTGCACTTGATCAGGGCCGGTTACTGCTGCTTCAAATGTTGAGGGCTCTGATAAGTCCACTGCTGCTTCAACAGCATTTGCACTCGCACGCAAAACACAGGCGGTGTTGAATCACCAGAATCCTTCGTTTCTTCGTCTTCTTCTTGGCGTGACGAGTTGTTTTCCGGCGCACTTGACTCTTCTAGTCCTGGTCGTTGACGCACTGCACGCGGTCGTGGAGCTGCTGTATCTTCATCATTGAGTCGGTTCTTGCGCTTTCCTGTTTGCTTGTACTCCATTTGACGCAGCTCTTCGTCATCAAGATCCAGCAATTCGAAGTCCAGGTCATCGACATCTTCATCAGTGATCGGCAGTTGAAGTCCCTATAGGTGGACTCGTCGAAGTTGACATCGCGGCTGATAACCACCTGCCCCGCCTCGATGTCATAAACACGAAATGCCTTCGAAACTTCTTTGTAGCCCACGAATATGCCAGCGCGAGTCTTTGGATCCCACTTGAGTCGATTCTCTTTAGGCGTCAGTATGTATGTCTGACACCCGAATGTTCGCATGTGCTTGACGCTTGGTTTCAACTTGTAGACGATCTCAAACGGGGTCTTGTGCACGACTTTAGGTGACGGCAGTCGATTCTTGACGTAGATGGCCGTCATCGCTGCTTCGGCCCAGAAACACTTGTCCAGTTTGGCATGATGAAGCATGCTGCGGCCGATCGTGACAATAGTCTTAATGGCACGCTCTGCTGTTCCGTTTGTTTGATGTGCATACGGCACCGTTGTTTGCTGTTCAATGCCTTCGTCTTCGTAGAACAGTTGAAGCGAGTTGGTTGCAAACTCGCGAGCTCCGTCGTGTCGCACGAACTTGACCTTCTTACAGAATTGCGTCTGTACCATGGTGATATATTTCCGGATGTAGTCTCCACTCTCGGACTTCACTCGTAGACAAAAGCCCTTCATGCATCCACTGGCTTCGTCGATGATCAGCAGCAAATATTTGCTGCCACCGAGCGAATCCTTTTCCATGGGCCCGCAGATGTCCAGATGAAGTAGCTCAAACGTATCGTAGCTGCGCTTGTCTCGGTTGCTTGGAAATGGTTTTTGGACCATTTTCCCTTGTTGACATCCTCGACATGTAGTTGCTCCACCCGACTTGAGAGGGACTCGCACATCCTTGATCATGTTGGTCGCGATCATCTTGCGAAGTACATCGACTGGAGCATGACCCATTCTCGCATGTAGATCGGCACAACTGGTTCCACTTGTTGTCACATTCGCTGATCGTTGAGTCGTCCGAAGCCAGTAGAGTCCATCCACGAGATCCGCTGTCGCCACCACTTGCTGTGAGTTCTTGAGAGTCACATACATCTTGGACCCGTCAAACACGACTTGAAACTTGCCATGGCTGTTAATCTGTGGCACCGAGAGCAGGTTCTTGCTCATACTTGGAACATATAGCGCGTTCTTGATTTCGATCTCACGCTCTTCACCGTTGGGCAGAACCACCTTTTCCATGATGGTTCCCACACCCTTGATGGCCACCTTGTTGCCATCAGCCACCAAGAGTTCGCCCTCATTGCGCTCTGCCGAACTTGCGAACTTGGTCTTGTCGTGGCAAATGTGGTGCGTTGCACCACTGTCGACGGCCCACATTCCAGACACGTCCTTGCTAGTCGAAACTCCACATTCGAACGAGACTGCAAACGCCACTCGATCGTAGCCATTGCCTTCATCATGATGTCCCCACTGGACATTGTTAGCCCCGCGTCCACGACCATTGCCGCCGCATCGGGCTCCCCGACCTTCGTTCTTCTGCTTTGTCCAGCAACGATCCACCGTGTGTCCCACCTTGCCACAATACGTGCATTGGTAGGGCTCATGCTCGGCGCTGAATGCCTTGCTTGCATCTTCAGCCTTCACCGTAGTCGCTGTCGTTGTCCCTTTTTCTCCTTGACGCTTGGCATGCTCATTCGTCAGGACTCTTACCACATCTTGAGTGCGAAGCTCGGTGCTGCTCATTTCCATGTTGAGCACCACATTTTCGTAGCTCTTCGGAAGACTGAGTAGCAGACAGATCGCAACGTCTTCGTCTTCCATCTTCGCACCGATGCCGCTAAGCTTGGCGGAGATGTTGAGGACCTCGTTGCAGTGATGCATGACGTTCGCGCCTTCAGCCATCTTGATACTGAAAAGTTGTCGCTTGAGGTAGATGCGTCCTGCCTTCTGCGACCCACCGTACAGCATCTTCAGACTTGTCCACGCAACCCAGGCTTCCTTGCAGTTGTCCAGCACATGACGGTAGTCCGCGTTCATGTGCAGCAGCATCATACCAAACGCGACGTTGCTTGCCTTGACGTAGTCATCGGACGCTAGCGGGTCGGTGAAAGTCGGAGTTACTTCACGGTTGACGACGTGCCAGACGGACTTTGTCAAAAACACACCGCGCATGTACCGGCTCCACGTTGCGTAATTGTCTCCGTTGAACTTGTCAATGGAGGCGTTGCTGGTGGACGACATGGCGCTTGGGCTCATAACCTGTTGCATTGTAGGTCGGAGCGAGGAAAGCGGAGCGAACGGAGCGGAGAGACCGAAGAGAGTAGAGCAGAAAACACTTGCCCAATAGTTGGAAGATTCGAAAGTGATTGATTATCGGGGCTTACTACTTACTACATGATTTATATGTGGTGTACATATAAATCATGTGAAGCGTCTCATCATCCTACGCGTCTAATCAACTATGGTAATTACCGTAAGAACTACGTCGTAAATACTAAGCTGAACAGGCGGTTCGGATTGGATCGGTCACGGTTACCAATACTGGCAGAAAACCGATGACCGTCAACAGTGACGAAGGCGACATCGAGATCAAGGATGCACTGTTCGTACCAAGTATGAGCAAGAATCTGCTTTCGTTGCCACAGATCAACAAGGGTGGCAGGTTCCAAGTCGTGTTCGATGGATCCAAGATGCAAGTGAAGCGCAAGAATTCCACACAAGTCGTGGCAACAGCGGATCTCGTCGATAGACTTTACTGGCTGCGGACTCCCCAACGATCAGCTAATGCAGCAACACGCAATGGGACTATCGACTTGCATGCGCGCATGGGTCATGCACCCCTCGAAGTTCTGCGCAAGATGGTGGCCACTGGCATGATCAAGGACGCCAAGGCACCTCTCAACTCGACTGGTCCAAGTGTGTGTCGCGGTTGCCAGCAAGGAAAGATGGTCCAAAACCCATTCCCAACCAACCGTGACAAACGCCAATACGGTGTGTTCGAGTTGCTGCACTTCGACATCTGCGGGCCAATGGAACAAGTCTCGATCGGCGGCAGCAGATACTTACTGCTTGTGGTTGACGAAGCCAGCGGTTGCATGAAGGGCTTCTGTCTGCGGTCCAAGTCTGAGAGTGAAGACTGTATCAAGAACCACATTATCAAGATTCAAACTCAGTTCGGCACGAAGATCAAGTTTGTTCGGCACGATGGAGCGCATGAGTTTGCGACCAACTCGATCAAGACCTTCTACGAAGATCATGGTATCGAACAACAGATCACGGTGCCGTATGCACACCAGACCAACGGCACCGCAGAACGCGCGATAAGGACCATCGTCACGATAGGATGCAGCTTGTTGCATCATGCAAAACTGGAGAAGTGTTTCTGGGCTGAAGCGGCAATGACGGCGATCTACATCAAGAACCGCCTGCCTTCACCCAAGATCGACCACAAGACTCCGTTCGAGGTCGTGTACAAGTCGAAACCAAGTGTCAAGCACATGCGCGTGTTTGGATGTCGGGCGTTTATCCTGACACCAAGGGAGAAGCGATTGAAGTGGAACCCAAAGGCTCGTGAAGGGATGTTCATGGGCTACGAAGAAGCGTCAAAAGCTTATCGAGTGTACGACATTGAGGCGGGCCAAGTGGTGATCAGTCGTGACATCACCTTCGACGAATCGACTTTTGACTTTTCGATGGACCGACCAAGTGACGATGATGAAGATGCGGAGTTGGACCTCGACCTCCTGGCGATCAACGAGGACGACATGCGTCAAACCATCTACAAGCAGACTGGCAAGCGCAAGAGTGAAGCAAGACACGGCATGTCACGTTCAGCTCGCCCTCGAACTGGGTTGGAACAAGCAAGTGCGCCGGAACACGTCTCCAACCGTCACCAGAAACGACGATCAAGTGCTCCAGAAACGATGTCTGATGACGAAGAAGATGCAAGCGTCTACGATCAAGATGACGACTCGACGCCTCCAACATTTTGGCGTGCAAGTGCAAACGCAGTGGAAGCAACGGACCTAGCAGAACCTGTGACTTTTCAAGACGCGATCAATGGTCCTGATCAAGCTCACTGGCGAAATGCTGTGAAGGCGGAACTCAAGTCGATGCATCTTCGTGGAGTTTTCCGTGCGGCAAAACTACCAAGAGGCCAAGGCGCGATCGGCACCAAGTGGGTGTTCAAGATCAAGCGCAAAGCGGATGGATCGGTCGAGAAATACAAGGCGCGTCTCGTTGCCAAGGGCTTCAAGCAGAAGTACGGCATCGACTACACAGAGACGTTCTCGCCCGTGGTCAAGTACGTGACACTGCGTATGGTGATCGCGATCACCAAGTATTTCGACTGGCCACTGGACCAACTCGATGTGGTGACAGCCTTTCTCTACGGAGTGATGAAGGAGAAGGTGTACTGCGTGATACCAGAAGGCGTCGAGATGGATGGCGACTTCGACTGTCTCGAGTTGGTGAAGGCGATCTACGATCTCAAGCAAGCTTCACGTGTGTGGAACGAGACTTTCGACGAGTTTGTATGCTCTATCGGTTTCGAGGCGTCGGCGTTCGACCCATGTCTCTACATCAAGGTTGTCGACGGTCACTGTGTGCTCGTGCTGGTCTACGTGGATGACGTGTTGGTCACCGGCAGCTCGCTCGAGTTGATTGCGCAGACGAAGGCCGACCTCAAGACGCGTTTCGAGATGACCGACAGTGGCAAGTGTACTTTTGTACTGAGCATCGAACTGGTGGATGAATCGGATGGCAGCGTGACGATGTGCCAACGACGGTATGTCAACGACATCCTCAAGCGCTTCGGCATGGATGAGTGCAAGGCCACAGCAAGTCCGGTCGACTTGAGCACTCGGCTTGTCGCAAGCAGCGAAGCGGCCAAAATCGACGTTCCGTTTCGTGAAGCTGTGGGAGCTTTGATGCACTTGACGACTGCGACGCGCCCGGACATTGCGTATGCTGTGAAGTACGTCTCGCGCTTCATGGAGAATCCGCAGCAAGAACATTGGACGGCGGTGAAGCGCATCTTTCGTTACTTGTAAGGGACCAAGTCGCACGGACTCCGCTTCCAGCCAAGCGACAAGATCGACTTTCGTGGCTACACGGACGCGGACTGGGCCGGCGACCACGCTGATCGCAAGTCGACTTCGGGTTACACTTTCATGCTGATGGGTGCTCCTGTGAGTTGGGGAAGCAAGAAGCAGTCAAGTGTGTCGCTGTCGACGAGTGAAGCGGAATACATCGCACTGAGTCTGGCCATCCAGGAAGGCAAGTGGGTGCATCGCCTGCTATGCGAGATTTTGGAGGCCGCAAACGAACCAGGACCGGACGTCGTCATCCGTGAAGACAACCAGTCGTGCATCAAGATGACGAAGAATCCGGTGAATCATGGCCGCGCCAAGCACATCGACATCAAGCACCATCACATCCGTGATGAGGTCAACCGCGGTGAAGTGAAGCTCAAGTACTGTGAAACTGCGGTGATGTTAGCGGACATCATGACGAAGGGACTTCATGGACCACGCCACAAGGAGATGACGACGGCTCTCGGCATTCGTGCGAGTTCGGATTGAGGGGGCGTGTTGACGGTCATCGGTTTTCTACCAGTACTGGTAATTGTGACCGGTCCAATCCGAACCGCCTGTTCAGCTTAGTATTTACGACGTAGTTCTTACGGTAATTGCCATAGTTGATTAGACGCGTAGGATGATGAGACGCTTCACATGATTTATATGTGCACCACATATAAATCATGTAGTAAGTAGTAAGCCCCGATAATCAATCACTTTCGAATCTTCCAACTATTGGGCAAGTGTTTTCTGCTCTACTCTCTTTGGTCTCTCCGCTCCGTTCGCTCCGCTTTCCTCGCTCCGATCTACAATGCAACAGTCACCATTGGGCAGAACCACCCGTTCCATGATGGTTCCCACACCCTCGATCGCAGCCTTGCTGCCATCAGTCACTGATAGTTCGCCTTCCTCTCGCTCATTCAGGCTTGCACACTTGGCTTTGTCGTTGCAGATGTGATGCGTCGCACCGCTGTCGACTGCCCACATCCCTGGCATATTCTTGCCCGTAGAAAGTCCAGCCTCCAGCGAAACCGCGAACGCAACTCGATCGTAGTTGTCGTCGTAGTTGCTGTTGGTTCGCCACTGAACGTTGTTGGCTCCGCGTCCACGAGCATTGTTGCCGCCGCGTCGAGCTCCACCTTGATTTTCGTCCTTCTGCTTGGTCCAGCACCGCTCCGCCGTGTGCTCCAATTTTCCGCAGTATGTACACTGGCGGGGTTCACGCTCGGTACTGAAGGCCTTGGTGTTGCATTGTAGATCGGAGCGAGGAAAGCGGAGCGAACGGAGCGGAGATACCGAAGAGAGTAGAGCAGAAAGCACTTGCCCAATAGTTGGAAGATTCGAAAGTGATTGATTATCGGGGCTTACTACTTACTACATGATTTATATGTGGTGTAAATATAAATCATGTGAAGCGTCTCATCATCCTACGCGTCTAATCAACTATGGTAATTACCGTAAGAACTACGTCGTAAATACTAAGCTGAACAGGCGGTTCGGATTGGATCGGTCACGGTTACCAATACTGGTAGAAAACCGATGACCGTCAACACGCCCCCTCAATCCGAATGCTCACGAATCCCGAGAGCCGTTGTGGCAAAGTCACTACTAAAATTTTGTACGAGGATCGGTGGCCACACCTTTAAAGCGCCGCTTACTGGTGGAAAAGGAGGCCATGAGACTCGGCGATCCAATACGGAGGTGGAAGATGATCTTAACGGGATCGGCGAACCGATCCAACTGTCGTTAGACTAATGGGTATGAATCGACCTGGGACGGAGCGATCTGGAACGATTTACATGGAACAATCTGGGACAAGGATCTGGGACCGGGTGATGGGATATGACTCTGCGACGAAGGTGTAACATCTTGCAGAATGTTATGGGGCGATCTGGAACCAGACGTCGGGATGAAGTCATACAGCTCATTGGAATGCCGGTCAAGAAGAAGTATACGTACATTGAAGCAGGCTAAGATCAGATCGCAGATCGACATGTTGTGGCAACGGTTTGTTGGAGAATTGACACATCTGGGACAAGGTGACTCCCCAAAGTGCATCTGGGACCAGGTGGTACGGGTCGGTGAATCGGCAAAGAAGGTGCAACACCATACGGATCGGTGATACTCTTTACCGATCCTAAATTGGGAGTACTGATTTTGGTTAATTATGCACCGATCTGGAAGTTTTGCATACTCAGGGGAGTCAAGGAAACCGATGTTGAGACGTATGAATGGAGTGGTCGATTGGATAACACTGGTGGATGATATTGAAGCACGTATGAGGAGATGAAAAAGTGTTAATTGCCGATTTAGACCGGATCGACCTCCAACATCTCGATATTGGATGACAGATCGGTCATGTTCCACACTGATCATGAATGTATGGTTGATGAAGATACTGGATCATGTGGAATATACTTGATAGAGGTCACTAAGTGATGTCAAGAAGTTTCATACCGAAAGAGCCAGTGGAAGCTGTCCGAATTGACGGCGCAAAGTGAATTTGGACACATTCGGCATTTTGGGTCATACATTGGGTACTTGGGTGCCAAGAATGGGTATTTGGTACCATATAGGAGATTTTGGTCCATTGGGTTCTCTAGGTACGATATCGGGGATATTGGCGCTATCATTGGAGTACAGGGCACGAAATTTCGACACGTGGCAAGGGGGCGAACCAGATTCAAGGCGATATCGGTTTGAAGAGTGACCTATAGTTAAGAATAGGCTTAAGGGTAGGTTGGATAGTAATTTGGTTGGTTAATAAACAGACTTGAACTCTACTTCTTCTGCTCACGACGCACGTTATCCTCCCCTCTTCTCCAGGCAAGATTGATTTGGCTTCCCCGGCGGGTTAAGGCACGCGTGTTACAGGGACACAGAAGACCGATCTTGGATTGTTGGCCAAGATCGAGAAGAGCGATCCCGGGATATCTGGCCCGGATCGATCAAGTACTCACACTCAACTCAACTGCTAGGGTAGCAGCACACAACGGAAAAGGAAAAGGATTTTGGACACAGGATCGCGAGACGGCTCAAGTGGTCAGAAGATCTGGACAAGGCGTTCAAGACAAGACCGAGCAGGATCGAAGCGATCCCCTGGACAGATCGGCATGTTTCATTTTGGCGAAACAGGACACCGATCTACCCAAATTGCGCACTTCCGGCAAGATCGGCCGATCCCAAGACCAGATCGGACCGATCCCAAGGCAAGATCGACGCAGGACTTTTATTTGCTGAGTGAAGATTCCCGCACAGCAAAGACCCCGATCTCGAAGACAAATCAAGATCGGTGCGATCCAAGATCGGGATCGCAGAACCCCCGTTCGTGGTGTGAAGATTTCCGCACCGGAAGCGAACCCTCAACCCAACCTCTCAGCGAGATCGACATCTCCCAAGGCCGTTACGAAGAGCTCAAGCCAGCCCAACCGACGGGTACACAAGGTGAGCACAAGGTCATACAACAAGGCACGGATCGGAGTACCCCCTCCGTGAGTCGGCAAGTCTGGGCAAGTGGAAGATCGACACTCATACAAGCAATTTTGTGAGATCGACTTCACCACAATGGTGCGCGTGCCCGGATCTTCTGAGGCCTCTGGATTTCACCGTGAGTCCACTGGCGAAGATGTCAAGATTAAGCAAGAACCTGGGATTGAAGTGTCAGCGACAAAGGGATCGACGCAGACACGCAGAAGCACAAGATCCTCAGATCATCAGAGTTTTGGGAGGGGCTCTGATGAAATGAAAATGAAAGAGGAAGATCGAGAGATCGATCTGGAAGATAAACCTCAATTCCCTCCTAGGGTCCCTTCGGGGGCCACCGCAGATCGCTCTGCAAAGAGCGATCTGCTGGATGAAAATCCAATGGTGAAAACCAAATCGGCGAAAGCCAAACCCTATATCTTAGTCGATAGATCGCCCGACCTCAAGCCGAAGAGCACAATCGCGAGATCGACCACATCAGAACGATCCGCGACGAGATCGATGGGATCAGATGTCAAAGATCGCCAGATCGGCCGAACCGTGCAATCAAAGATCGGAGCCAAAGAGGAATACGATGAAACACCAGATAAGATCGCGATGCCAAAGACGGAATATAACCCAATAAAGATCGCGTCCAGGGAGAAGGAGACGACGGGTGAAGCGCGGGAGCGTGCAAAATGGCAGTACTATTATGGCCAGTTGAAGACGCTGCTCAAGACGGACCCAGTGTTCAAGATATTAAGGCCCAAGGTGATTGGTCCTCTGGATAAGCCGATCTCGGTCCCACTTCACGGGACCAACAAAGTCGACGAGATCAATTTGATTTTGCAGATGTTGGACGACATGGGTATCTGCCCTGACGCTTTTGATGGAGATGAACTGCTGAGTTGCAGCTTGGAACCGTTGAAGGACGCGGCGAATGAGTTTGTAGAGATCATGATAATGCTGGTGGGCAAAGCGAATACTCCTGAAGACAAGATCGGGACGCCCTCGGGCTCGCTCCGTAAACACCCCGCGGGATCGCCCCGCTACGCCTCGGATGACTCCGAGAGCGAGTCAGATGGATCCATCAGCATTCGTCAGATGTCTCTAGGACCATCGGGTGGAAGGTTCTTAAAGGACAAGATCGGACAAGCCAAGATCGACGCCTATAAGGGACAAGCCAAGAGCAACATGCCGCAGAGATCGGCCAGTACCCGCACTGGGCTGGAGGATCAAGAAGAGGGCGATCTAAGTCGGTAATTCAATTCAGCCATGAAGAAGTACGAGGCGGATCAACGTACAGCTCAGCGAATGAATCGACAGCCAAACCGCTACCCAGATCGACGTACTTTGCTCCAACCTTCACACGAAAGCCTTGACATGCCGGATGTGGAGATGGAGTCGGTGGGGTCGGACATTTACCAACATATCCATGAGGCGGCGGAATACGACCCGGATGATCTATGGATGCCCGAACCACGGCGCCCTCATGTAGCCGCGACCGGTGCGACTACCGGAGGGGGAAGCATCACGCAGAGGATCAGAATCTCAGCGATTTCTGAGCTGAAAGAATTCTCAGGGAAGGATCGGGAAGAAGACAAAGCACGGACCTGGATCGGCAAAGTGAAATCAGCGTTTATCCGGGACCAAGCACCGGACGAGGAGAGATGTCTGGTCTTCGGTGATCTCATGGTGGGCCCAGCCCGCTACTGGTACCGACAGCTGAGTAGATCGACGAGATTCAATTGGAAAGAATTGATGAACAGTTTTCTTGTGGAGTATGCGGGACACGGGATGTCCGCGAGCAGGTAGTACTACCATGCAAAGAAACGATCGGAGGAAGATCCTTTACAGTACCTGTATCGGCTTAATGTGATGGGAATGCAGGCGAAGATACCGGTGATGACTGGATTGCCAGCTGCGCGCAAGGAACATGTCAATCATTTCATTGACACCTTGGACGACCCCGATCTGTCCAATCAATTGCTACTGCTGAATGTAGAAGACGCGGAGGCCATGCAAAAGACACTGCACGGATATCAACAAGGGAGATCGCGTCAAGGGAAAGTGATGATGGGATCGTCCAAATTCAGACAGAAGGGAACTCAGGGTCCAGCGCTGTCTAAGCCTGCACGAGCGGTAAGGATGGTCCGTACTGAGGACGTCTGCAGCGAGTCAGGATCGGACACCTGCGGATCGGATTTGGAAGATCGATTGAGATCGATCCATGTGGCTGCTACTGCGGATCGCCGTTCATCCCCCAATGACGTTGCAGCAAACGCGAGATCGGTCGACCCGAACACTCGTCAAGACTATCAAGATCGCAATATGCCATTGAAGCCGTGTACTCATTGTGGATCGACCAAGCATGGAGATCTCGGTTGCTGGAAGCGGCTCACTTGCCAGAAGTGTGGGCATAAAGGACACCCCTCTGACAATTGTTTTTTCGTGAGTCGTGCTTGCGGTGAGATGCACGACCCGGGGAAGTGTCCCATGGAGGAGTTCTACAACATGATCCGTCAGTGGTACGTCCCGAATAAGCATGCGGGGATGCTACCAGAGAAGGCCGAGAAGATGTTAAACTAGGACGCTCGCCAGGTTTGAATCTGGTACGAGCCGAGCGTTCTGGGCTCTGCATTATTGCATACGTGGAAAAAAAAGAAGACAGATCGCGAGAGTAAGCAGGATATTGACGTGGAAACAAATATATCTCGTTCGAAGTTAAAACGTGTCGCTTCCGTGTCCCATCTGAAGCGGATCGATGAGTACTCACGATCTGAACCAGCTATGGAGATCGAGCTCGCTTATGGTGAATCTCGCGGATACTGGAAACATTATTCACCCGGGAAGTGGTTCAAACAAGCGAAAGCCGTTGGCAAGATCAACAACGTAAAAGCTACTCTGTTATTTGATTCTGGTGCTGAAGTGTCGATCATTGACACCACCTTTGCTCGTGAGGTCGGTTGCAATATTGACGAAAGTCAACGACAAGAATGTATCGGGATTGGAGAAACTCCGTACATGACGGTAGGACGTACCAAGATCAAGGTGACCCTCGCGGGATCGCTGGTATACTATTTCAATGTATGGGTAGGCGATCTGGCAGGGCAAGAAGCGATTCTGGGTATGGATTTTATGGTGCCTGCTGGAGTGCGGCTCGATCTAGCGGATGGCGCGCTATGTCTACCAGAAGAAATCCGCATTCATCTCGCAGGACGTCGCCCCGCGTACGGATCGAAGATACAACATATAACGGCGAAGGACCAACACGTGGTGATCCCGGTCGGAGAGTCAAGGGAAGTGAAGATCGGGATCGGAGGGGCTAAGATGAAGTTGTGGGTCGCTAGAGGACTAGATTGGGTCCCCACTGTGATCTCGGGGTGGGGTAAGACGAAATACCTGCAGATGACCAACATTGGCGACCGTGGGATCATACTGCCCACCCACACTATATTAGGCATGTGGGTCGAAGGCGATATGGTACCGCGAACCCAAGGTTTGGTGACAGTCGGGTCGGGGAAGTACAAGGAATGGCAAACTCTGGCATATGAGGCTACGTCGGATCGAGTGAACGAACTCCCGAAAGAACCGATCGGACCATTGGTAGATCGTCCTACGTATGCCGCTCCCAAACGCATCTTGAAACGTCCGTCTGATGCGTTACAGAACCTGTCTCCGGCGATCTCCACGGTAACGCCGCAAGCTAACGATGACGATTCGCAAAAGGCAGATGCTGTAGTTGCGAGGGAAGTAACGGTCAGGGGAGCCGAACTATCGCGGATGGAGAACGGTCATGAGATCGGTACCCAACATGCAACGAAGGGAGACCGCGACACCGGTCAAGAAGGGCTACGTGACAGATCGTCTCTACCGAAGGCTGAGCCGACTGACCGACTGTTGAAATTGGGCCAGCCGGAAGAGACGAAGGAGCCTAAAGAAGAAATAATGCTAAATACTGAAGACGTCGAGATTGCAGAAATACCAGTTTATCACCACGAGAGCGGAGATTTGTTTGCGGAAGATATCGAGCAGCATATGGCCGTGCTACCAGAGATGTCGGCGACTACGGAAGAAGTTACGATTGAGGACATTCAGATCGGTGATCCCGATGTGCCTCTCACCACAGATCAACAACGGCTCAGATCGCTGATCTGGAAGAGCCGTCACCTCCTCATGGGTAAAGGTAATGCTTTACCACCAGCAGCACGAGGCGCGATCTGTGATATTGATGTCGGTGGGGCAGCACCGATAGCGCAAAGAGTGCGTCCGGTCGCACCCAAATATCGGGAGAAGCTGTCAGATCTCATCAAAGGACTATTAGCAGCCAAAATCGTTCAGCCATCCACGTCACCTTGGGCGTCTCCGATAGTGGTGATCATCAAGAAGAACGGAGTGGATATTCGCCTTTGCATTGATTATCGAAGAGTGAACCAGCTGATGCGTCTGATGGTTTATCCCATGCGGTTGATCAGCGATCTGTTGGAAGATCTGGATAAAGCTCTATGGTACTGTTCGCTAGACATGGCTAGTGGATTTTGGGTCGTCGAAATGACTGAACGAGCAAAGCTGATCTCAGCGTTTGTCACACCGTTTGGCTTGTTCGAGTGGCTGCGAATGCCTTTTAGGATTAAGAACGCGCCCCAGATCTACCAACGTCTGGTGGACAATGCGTTGTATGGATATCTCAAGATCGGTCAGAGATCAGCCTCTGATGGCCCGATCGACGTGTTCAAAGATGGAGAGCCTGAGACAGATCGACGACCGTCTATACTGGGACGCCGATCTTACATTGACGATATTCTCATACCAGCCACGTCATGGGGATCTTTGTACACAAAAGTAGAACGGTTGCTGGAGGCATGTGATAAGTGGAATCTGTCTATCAGCCTCACGAAGAGCTTTTGGGGGTGCCGTAAGGTCGATTATTTGGGACATCGAGTGTCGATGGATGGTCTGGAGGCTCAGCCCAAGAACCTAGAGTCGTTGGTTAACACCCCGTTTCCTAGCACGCTACAAGCTATGCAATCCTTTCTCGGGAGCTTGAACTACTACCGTCGCTTCATTGAGGATTTCGCGGTGTATGCCGCGGTGTTGTATGAGTTAAGAGAATCGGATTTCTTCGAGATCGGCCGATCTCAGCTCGCAGCAGGAGACGAATGGTCGAACGATGGTCGATGGACAGAAGCCAAGGTTGCTTTCACTATGCTAAAAGCTAAGATAGCTACAGCTCCCATGCTCAAGCATTTCGACCCAGATCGGTTCCCCGTAATCGTGGTCTACGCTAGCAAGTGGGCTGTCTCAGCGGCCCTGATACAGGAGTACGATGGCGTGTACCATCCGGTGACGTTTACTAGCCGCACTTTAAAGCCTAATGAGCTTAACTACGGAACGGTAGAAAAAGAAGTGCTGGCGCTACTTCGTGTGTTGGATGTATGCTATACTACGCTTGCCTCGCGGGAGATCACTGTACTGACCCGACATTCTACGTTAGCCTGGTTGATGCAGTCTCGAGGGCTCAACGGGAGATTAGGACGGTGGGCTGCTTTGTTGTCAAATTGGACTATGGAGGTGAAGAAATGTGAAAGAGGAGAGGAAGAAATCCTGGGCATGTTAGCAGCGAGTATCACTCCGAGAGGAGAGGTGGAAGAGATGCTGATTGAGATCTCCCCACGAAAAGACTGTCGACTCAAAATATCGATGCCTCCTCCAACGGTGGAAACAGATGAGGAGTTGCTGGTAGCCAGTTTCGATGGATCGGCTAGGATAAAAAAAGAAAGGAGGGTCGTTCAGTGCCGTGATATGGAAGTTACCCGAATGGACGATCGTGGCGGCCGAATCGAGATATGTTCACGATCTGACTGTGAATGAAGCTGAGTATAATGGCTTGCTACTGTGCTTTGAGTTACTCGCCGATCTGGATAGGGGGCGAGTAATACTGTGTGGAGATTCCAGTCTGGTGATTCGACATATGCGCGGTGAGATCGACTGCAAGGCACCGGGCCTTCAGCTTCTGAGACACAAAGCGTTGGAGAAGCTGCAGTCATGGCCTAGTCACGAGTTTCTGCATATGAAGCGAGAGTGGAATCAGAGCGCAGATCGACTAGCCAGCACAGCATTGCAGAGCGAAAAGGGAAGAACGGTTGTAGCTGAAGAGGATCGGCAAGATCTGATGACTCTGAACCGTCTCGATGAATTGTTGAAGCCCAAGCAAGATGGTCAGCTAGCTCGGGTAACTGCGATCGCGAGATCAGCCAGGAGGATACGTCATGAACCTGAAGTGATACAGGAGGAGATAGTACAGAGGATCAGGATTCAACGAATTGTCCAAGCTCAAGATGAAGAGCGTTGGATTGTCAATCTCAAGACATATCTAAGTGGCGATGTATCAAACTTGGATGCAGTAGAAGTGAAGATGTGCGCCAAACTGGCGCCGGAATACGAGATCGATGAGAACAATCTGCTATTTTTTGCCCCATGGCGAAAAGAGAGTCAGAAGATCGCGATGGTTTGATGCGGTTGGTGATCCCTGAGACGTTGCAGCAGGATTTTTTGCATCACTATCACACGAGTCTGGATAGATGCCATCAGGGTATTGGCCGAACCTATCAGAGGATCAGATCGCGATTTCATTGGAGAGGACTGTATCGGAGCGTTCAACGATATGTGGGCGAATGTACCGACTGTGAGACCGGGAAAGGAAACCCGATGATTCATGGAAAATCCCCGGGCAATCTACACGCAACCTATCCATTCCAGATCATCGCCATGGATCATATACCGTCGTTGCCCAAGTCCATCAAGGGGAACACCGA